GGTATCTGGAGGCTAATAATCCATATAGGAAATTGGCAAATGAAGGATCTTGTGGGAACTGGGTTTTCTTCTGAGTGTCTGTGTAGTTATATATTTGTTTTGCATGTGATGTCTATAAAAATAGCTCAAATTAATCATCCTAAAGGAAGATAAGCACTTTGATCAAATGTTTTTAAAATGGAAAACAAAAGCTGTGGTATCTTTTAGTTCACATGACTTTAATCATTGGGGAAAATGTAAATTCTTGCCTAGGGTTAAATAATTGTTTTACATTAGATGAGATAAGCTAAAAGATCAAACAGCTGCTAGAGGGTATGTAAAAATTAATCTTGCAAAATTCCCTGTATAAGCATATTGGGTAAATTCAAAAAGGTAATTTATGGTTTTTCTGTAAATTGAGGATTGAAATAAAAGCACAAGTTACTCTTAAGGCACTAATCTGTTCTTTAGCAAAATTTGTAAAGGGCTATAAAATGTTTTTTGTTTTTTAAATTTCTGAGTCATCATTTCTGTAAAATAATTTATGGTAATCTGGAATTCTATTTCATAACATCAAATGTTTTAAACCTCTAACATATTCAATAGGCTTCCCAAAATCAAACTTTAGTTATAAAATTGTCATTCCTGACACCTGGCTTTTTGGATACTTCAAAGGGCCCCTGGAGTGTCCAGAAAAGAGAGGTAAACAGGATTGTTTAACATGTTTAGGCACATGGAATTGTCAAAGTGATGTTCAATCTTCTTTAGGTTATATTTTGGTGAATAATGCCAATATGTGTTCCAAAATTGTATGAAATTTTTAAAATTCTAATGTTTGAGTATATGCTATCAATCACAATACGGTTGTTATGTTAAGCTATTTTAAACCACAGAGATAACCAAACTTTGTCAATTATGCTTCTAACTGTAACTACACTAGACGTTTTGTTATTCACAGACAATTTTTGACTTGTTTTAATCCTTTTCAAAAGATTGTTTATGATGAGTTATAGAACTTTGACAGGAGCTCTCAAATATAGTTTTATGACAACTTTGGAGATTATAACACTGGAATAAAAAAAAAAAACTACAGAACTCATGAAGAGCTCAAGTGTTCACGAATATCAAGCAAAGCAAGAACTAAACAGACTGAACTTAGAAAGCTGAAACAATCTTTAAAACTTTTGCTTGGAATATTGCTGATCCTTGTTCTGTTTTTCAGAGTCAAGGAAACTTATTTTGAACTATTTCCAGCCTTTATTAATTAAGGTATCCTCCTGTGAAGAAAATTTGGAGCATGTTTGTTTCTCTCTGCCTGGTTCCTCTAGAATTTGGATACTATCTGTGAGTATTTTTAACTTATAGCATATGTTGTTTGAATCAGTACCATAAGAATCCATGTTTTTCTTTTGCCACAGGACACAATTGAGGAAACTGGTGGTTTTACCAAGGGTTTGACTGGAAGGGTATGCTCCCCTTTAAGGAGTCAAGCTCAATTTGCAGAGCCAAGGAAAGCCCGTTGGGAAAAAACTGGCCTCATACCTTTGTCTATACAGTCTTTATACAGGTTTCCTGACCTGTGGTCAGTAGAGAATGTCACTTTCTAAGAGGCCCAGGACCTCCAAATTTATCTTGGGACCTTGAGAGGAGAGGATCACCCAACTCACAGGTATTTGAAAATATAAACTCATGGCTAGGCTCAGCTTTAAAAGGTCTTATCTGAGATTCTTTGTGGAACAGAGTTCCATCAAAGCCAATCTAAAAGGTGTATGTAGAAATAGTTATTCTTGTGGTATTTTATGTAACTAATCAGGCCAAGTATAAGATTAAAGTCTATTTTGCCAACAAGTCAGGCCTACCATAATTTTCTTTAATAAAAATGAGGACTGAAGAGAAATTATGTTTCAAAACTTATCATACCTTTTTCATTAAATTCTAAACTCATTAGTTGTTTCTAAGTTTTTGCCTAAATTTTAGACTAATTCTGCTTGTTCCTGTGAACCAACTAGTAATCTCCAGCTGCAGCTCAGAAAGAGCAAACGGGATGGGTAATGTAGAAATCTGGATCAATATTCTAGTTCTGAGCAATTATTCTACAAACCCAGTCAGGTGATGGGAATAAACAGGATATCCATTGCCTAAAGGTTTCCTTTTTGGGAAAGTAAGACCAAGGGAGCTAACCAAAGCCAAGCACCATGCATCCAAATCTTAGCAAGCATAAGTATAACCACTAGTTATATGGAAATGTCACAGACATCATTTTTTCTCCCTTGTTGGAAGAGGACTCAATTCCACAGCTTTACCTTAGCACGTGGCTTATGATAAGGAGTCCATGTGATGCTTGAAATTGAGTTTGGGACACATTTTTTGTCCCAAACTCTAATTCAAGCTTCACAGTAAAGCCCTAGAAAAGAAAACTGGATCTAAGCGCTCTAGAGGCCGATGATAACAGAGGTCAAAAGGCACCGTTCAGGTGAGAACAGCTAATTCTTGCTGATTAAGCCAAGACTTCCATTTCGTGGATAAAGGTCATGCTAGTATCTATGGAACAAGTGAGGTCTAGGGAACTCCAAGGCTACTGACAGTAGGGGGAATAGAGGCATAGGTGAGGAAAGATAATTCATATTCTCTAGGCCCTCCCTGCTTCATGGGTGCATGCTCTGACACCCATGGATGGCACCTGCCAAAGTTGCCGGGACTTGAAGATGCAAGGATGGTAGAGGGAAAGAGGACACTCTTCCTCCTCTCCCTCACGTACCCCAGGTATTCGCTAGGAAGAGAAGGAAACAAAGCATGCCTGCTCCCCTCTTTCTAGATGTGTAGCCATCCATCTTCACTCTGTACCCATTCCAAATGCATCCTGAACCCCTGGAACACCATCAAAAAAACACCTTTTTTTTCCTGTCTCCTCCCTCTGTCCTCTATTCACTGATAAGTAATTATGTCTCATACTACAAAACAGTCCCCTTGGATGCATCCTCCAAACTGGGAAAAGTTAATTTCCCAAACCTTAAACCAGTTGGCTTAGTATTGGGTCAGGAGAAGGGAACCCAGAAGCTTGACATGCCGGCAAAAGTCTAAAAGTTGTTTTACCTGTCAGGCTTCCGGCCTCCCTCTGCCTATGCAAACTGGTAAAATGTCTTTGGATTTTTAAGCTGTCCTCACCACCCACTTGTTTCATTTTAACACATGTTTTCTAATAACCCAGTTTGTCTGTTCTCGACTTCAGGCCATCAAACTCCAAACGGTCAGGTAATCGGAGCCTTGGACGATGGCTCCTTTTGCTAGGGACCCTTACACAGGCTTCTCAAGGAGCTTTGTAAACAGGAAGCAGTTAACATTGCTTCCCTTATCCTTATCCTTATTCTAATTGGCAGTTAGATGTACTTCTCTACAGGGGGAATGAGACAGTCAAGTATAAAGGGGTCCCTGGAGAGCCTCTTATCAGTCTGCATCCTGGGAGAATGGGGTGGAGCTACAGAAGTTCACACTGTTTGCAGGAGGGGAGGTGCCTGATTCCTCCTGTTCCTGGGGGTAACCAGTGATTCAATCTGTGAGGTAGAAAGCCTCCTAGAAGGACTCTTGCTTTGCCGAGAGTCCCTGTTTCCTTTTTACCCAAAAAATTCCATTTTTCTCACCCTTCTATGTGTCCTTATCTTTCCTGGTCATGTGACAAGAACCCTAAGGAGAAAGTCCTACAACAATGTGACCATGAACTTCTTTTTATGCAAAGTGCCTATTAAAGACCCATTGCAAATACTGATGTAGTCAAAACTCTAATTGTCGAAGGGAGAGAGCCCAAGCCATAATTCCCAAATCGATACTCAATCCACAAGATATAGGTGTTTTTTAAAACTCCACTTGAGACTAAATTGTCCATCACTGAAGGAAATAAGTCTTAACTTTCCCACAGCCTAATTCAAGCCTCATGTCCCTTCTCCAGCCTCTCCAGAGTCTCTCTGATCTTGCCTCTGCCTAAAAATAAATTATTCCTTTTCTAAAAACTCTGGGTAGGTATCTATACCTGTCTTAGAGGCCTGAGAAATTTCTGCCCTGATCTGTTTTATTTAGGTTTTTTCTTACCACTCCCCTTTTTTGACTAGGAATCTAAGTTTGTGTCCATAGTGTATGGTCCAATTCTGTTATGCAATAAACAGACATATAAACACTGGGCAACTTCTGCGTAGTGCTCTAGGACACAGTCAACCTCTGTTCTAGTTTGCTGTTGATTACTTTTTAACTGTGTGGCCTTGGATAATGTACTTAACCCCTCTGAACCCTGGCATCCTTATCAATAAAATAAAGATGACCTCATAGAATGATATAAGAATTGCAATAGATCATGTTTATGATAAAGCTTAATAAATGGTGAAGTATGATACAGATACAAGATGTTGATACTTTTATTTTACATACGGATTCACAGGCACACTGCTTTCTCTAGTCAGGCCACAGGCCATCCTAAGGATGGAATCTTCTCAAAAGGTTGGTTCAGACAGATGTCACTATAAGTTCTGCGACAACCATCAAGATCCGCTGCCTATGAAATGAACCTGTCTTCAGAAATCAGACTTGAATGGATCCAAGCCATCTTTGGCCTCACAATACAGTCAACTGTCCCTTCACAGTGTACTTCCTAGTATCATTCCCCCAATTCTGTTAGAAAAATGATTGGCTTGATAGAAAGCATCCAGCAGATGAGGGCCTCAGTTCCCCTCCTGTTCAGGTACCCAGAAGCCTTGGACAGGCCCCCCTGACTCCATCAGACCCTGCAGCACCCAAGAGATCACCATTCTCCATTACACAGAGAAGCAGGCAGGATGAGTCTTCTTTCCCAGTTCTGACTGGCATGAACAAGTGCTATACAATTGGCCATATACTTTATTGTTCTTATGCCTCAGTTTCTACAACTAGTTTTATAGCAAGAGTTAAATGACAACATTCACAGTAGACTTTCAGGGCCCCAGGCCAACACTTCGCCACCTGTGGAGAGAGCACAGGGGCTTCAGTGCAGCCTTTACCTCCAGGTATTCTCATTCTATAGGAGAAAACAGCCTATTAGGCATCCTCACTGCTCCAATCCCCAGTCTTGTCCCTAAAGCACAAAGATAATATTCCAAGTCTTCCTGGGAACTCCTATAAGCCAAAAACATAAGTCTTAAAGAAATATCATGCCTCTGTACCTAAAGTGTTAAAGAAAATCTCCTTATGAACTAACACTGAGGAGGTCTGTGTTAGTCTGTGTCCCTGCTGAGGAAATTCTATGGCTTCTTTCACTAATTTTTGGGCACCAGGATCATCCTGACAGATGGCAATGTGCACCCACCAGTCCCATAGTCTGGGCTGTGACCTCAGTCCACCAGATCACACTGGATAGGGGGAAGGGGAGGAGGACTATGGCCAGAGTTCTTTTCATATGCATTGACATTTGGTGACTTTATTGACAATAAAGTAACACCATGCAATTCCCCTTTCATCAGAAAGAGAATAAGCTGGAATTTTATAGTGCTATTATCTACTGATCCATAAACCACTAAAGACTCAAGTAACCCTAATTTCAACAAGTATGCCTTATCTTTATCACACAGCTACTCACAAAAAAACAAAAACAGAGAGGTGCTCAAGCGGTGCTTAATGTGAGGTTTTAAAATGCTCTGACAAGCATATTGAGCAGGAGGGCAGAACATACACTAAAAAAATGTTGACAGAGGACAAGGGGGGCATTTTCTGGCTGCCTCATAAACTTTTAAGGGGTGATTTTCCCAATGCAAAGCTATTTCACTTAACTGGGCTCTTACCATGTGGAGCCCTTATGCTAAATGCTAATGGATGACACAGATTTTCATCGTCCCAGACATCCAGGAACTTACAACCTATACAAATCTCCAATTTGCCTATGACTCATTGTAACCCCATAGTTTAAAAGCCTATTATTTTAATTACCAGCTCCTAGCTCTGCCACATGGTGCCTATGAAATATTGGGCAAGTTACTTACTTAATCTCTTCATGACTTACTTCTCCCACCTGCAAAATGGGGAGAATAATATTTTCTACTTTCTATGATTGCTGAGGGGATTACATGAGTTAAGATATATAAAATGCCTAAAAGTGTATTTGCTGTTATTATTTAACTGTACAAAGCTAGTTATCTGTGTTTGCTCATGCTATTATTAAGTATACAAATCAGTCCAAGCAACATGCCTACATGCCGTGGGGAAGGAATTACTTGCATTTTAATGTGGTAGAGAGTAGGAGTTGTGGGGAGAGAAGTTTATACTGAGGAGTGAGGGTGGAAAGACTCCTTGGAGCTGATACTACAGCTGGCCTCTGAAGACAGGTAGCATTCTGTGATGCAGCCATGCATAAGGAAGAAAGGCTCTTAGGGGACAATTAAAACAAACCAAACCAAACAAGCTATACTTTTTACCACTGATCTACAGAACAGAAAGGAAATCTTAACTGAAAAAATGCAAATTAGATGAATATTATCTTGCAGGTTTGAAGTCCCTAAAACCACGGGCTAAGGGCAGCAATAAGAAATAGAAATTTTATTCTTCACATCATTTCAAGAATGTACACTGCATGGAGCTGCTAATCATACCAATGCATAGTTACTACATTCTGTGTTAGGTGATTACAGGCATTGATAGGTCATCACCCAAGCAATGGGGCCATGAAAAGGATGTTCCATTATGACTACACAGGAAATGAAAGCCATTCTCATTAGCACAAAAATATTTTTAAAACATTTTATCATTCACAGAGTTTTTTTTCTGACATTTATACACTAAAACCTCACAACCTCGTAGGGATTCACACACATATACATATCCTAGCAGGGATTTCACACATATATACATTTAATCTCACAACCTAATGAGATCTCCAGATCCTCAAGCTGCCAGGAGCCTGTCATTTAACTTCGATTCCATTTTACAGAAGAACTATAGCTTCATGGATACCAAATGGTGAAGCCAGTGTTCAAACTCAAATGCCTTGACACCAAATCTCATAGCATTTCCATTGTATGTTCTTGTCATTGCCTTAAAAGTTTGTGTGAGAGATAAGGAGCCACTACAACTATTTTCTACTGGAATCCGAATGTCTATCTTCTGCTTAGCAACAATCTCAGCATTTGTCATGTCCTAAAGAAAATCCCATGTTGCTTCATGCCATTGATCTGTAGCTGTCTCCAATAAAAGGACTCGAATGCCTGCCGTGGCCCTGGGAATTTTAAATAAGAAGTCAATGAGAGATGCTGGTAAGTGGTTCTGTAATTGTCTAGGGGCAGATAAAAACCTTGGTGGAATAATAATCATATCAATGTGCTGGCTACGTGAATGATCCTGCAGTGAATTACAACAGGGTACTTCAACTCCAAGCCTAGGGTGGCAGATCTGCATAATTAATCTCCCTCTGCAATAACCCTGCAGGGTCAGCAACATCGGCATTCTACAGCCGAAATTAATGTCTTATTATTTCAGTCCCCTTTGGTGTTTCTTCAGATTCAGGAAAATAATATCAGATGTAGCAGCTCCGTTAACACAGACAGGGTTTTAAAGGATCTCTAGGCTATGAAAAAATTCTCGTGTAAATCCTGGTAGGTAAATAGAGGATGGATTCAATGGATTCATTTACTATTAGTCCTAATAAATGCACCTCCTTAGTTAGAGTCTCCTGATATTTTTTAATTTTATGCTTAGATTAACTTAGACCCTCTGAAGGCCACATATTGATTCACATTGTTCAGCTCGGGCTTTTACAGAATGATTTTGAAAAACTATGTTTTGGTAATTCACCCTCATGTTAGAGAAACATTAGGTCATTAATATTAGGTAAAATAGGTTTAAAAGTTATCTTTTTCCACAGGACTTCTTTCAGGGCCTTTTAGGATGCTAATGCATGTTGTAAAACTAAATTGCTTAGTAATAATATACAATGTTTCTCAAACCTAATTGACTTAAGTAATTCTTGTTTAGCAATATCTCCAAGCATCAGGATACTTAAACACAGTTTAGAAATGCTGAGTGATGTTCTTTCAGAAAAAAAGGGGAGGGGAGGTGGAGTTTGTCCCCTAACAGTACATCAGGCTTTGAGGAATTTCTATAAATTCTCTCATTGAGTGTATTACTCCTACTGGAGGTAATTTTATAGTAAGGGTCATGAATTTTTAATTGGGAAAAAAGTAGGAAATTCAAATCAATTTTCTAACTTGCTAAACCATTCCTGTGGCAAGCCGAGGGCGGAACAATGACACAATGGCTAGCTAAAATGAGATGTAAGACACACTGGTGCATTTCAGTATGAGGATGCTATGCTCCACCAGTGTAGCTAATTGGAGTCAATTATAATTTCACTGCTTCCAGAATTTTGGATACTTAAAGACTGTGGCCAAATCAGAACATAAGACACCATAGAGGAAAAGTCAGAAAACAGAGGGGAGTCTTTATTCTTCCAATTATAAACGGAGTAAGCACATACAAGACCCAGCAAATAACCCTTTCACCTGTGTGACCTTAATGTTAGAAAAATAAAAAGTGCTATTATTTTTAATTGTTCTTCTTTTTCTGAAAAAGAGGAAGATGATAAGAAAATGAATGTATTTATTAAGGTGACCTACAAAGAGTTTTTGCATGTAAATATTATTTTCATTCTCTAATATATAAAAAACGGACTGAAATCTCCTTCTATAAAACCAGAGGAAGAGATATTTACCACCATAAAAACAAGAAGGCCCATAAGCCTCAGGTAAGTGTTGGGTGCCATGGGAACACCTGTAAAGGCTGACTGATGACAAAGACCGAAGCAGTTTTTTCAAACATCATATCCTAGTGCTACTTCCCTGATGCCCTTCACTGACATTCTGGATCCTCCATGATCTGGCAGCAAACTCTCTTTCCAACCTTTTGCTGTACCTCCACTTCTCATACAGCAAGGATTCCCACCACAGGTACAAATACAGACATTGCTACAGGTCACCACCTGCCTGCCTTCCCCTTTACTCATTTCTTATGCCTGGGATGCCCTTCATTACCCTCTCCACATGTACAAGTACCACCTGTCCTTCAGGGCATAGTTCTGAAACCAGTTCCTTCATAAAACCTCCCTGCTTCCCTCTGTCAGATGTGATTTCTCCCTTCTCCCTAAAACTTTAGCTAAGTTTCCTCTTTAGTCTCAGTAATGTACTCGTACTATTAATTAAGCGTGTATCTCTTCTCTCTTAAGACCCTTGCAGACAGGGTCCACTTCGGATTCATTTTTGGCTCCCAGGGCCTAGCATGAAGCCTGGCATATAGAAATCGCTCTGGATTATTGATTGAATAATTACATTCCTCTAAACAGAGTGATTCTACAGGCTGTTTCTCAATCCAGGAAAATACTATAATTTCTTTATGTGTTTTCTACCGCTTCGGTCTCTCAACAATCATTTCTTTCTCAGATCATTGTGGATGATTTTTCCACTAAAATATGTCAGGCAAGGTACATTCAACAGAATACCTTGAGATTGTCGTCTGCCTTTGTCAGTGTAAGCCTTGGTTATGATGCTTTATAATACATACATTTGCATTTATCATGTGCATGGTGACACTGAACAACAGAGTTGCTCAGTGAGCTCCCACCCAAGTGACCATAGAGGGAGCAGCTTGGACTTACACCATAAATTTTGTTTAATTTGGATTCACATGTCTGACTTAACATTATTGAAGCTCATCATTTTTTTTGGCTAGGATAAACTCCCCAGAGTCTACCGATGCTAGGAAAAAAAAAAATCCCTTAATCTTTCTGTATGTTACAATGGGTAACTCTAATTGCCATTTCTAAACCCCAAAAGCTTTCAGGAAGCAGTTCCATTTAGAAAGAAAGAGTTTTCTATGAAAGAATATAACAGAAATTCCACGACCCCTTTCAGATTATTACCCAAACTCTGAGATCTGGAGCTTTTAAACTGAAAGCATAATTTGGGTAGGAGAGGAGGATAAGATCAAATATCAGAGGAAAGCCAAGAGAAGGGAGGTTATAAGCCATGACAGGCATACATGTGGAGAAGAGAGAGCCCAAGAAAAATTAACTTTGAAAATAACATTTGTTCATTCATTCAACAAGCATTTTCCAAATTCCTACTTTATGCTAAGTACATTACTCAACTGAAATAATTCGTGCTTTGACACTATACACAGCGCTTTCTTTCATGTCTTATTCTATTTGATAGTCACACAACTGACTCAAAAAGGAATATAATTTTCCTGTTTTACAGATGATAAAATCAGGTGCCAAAAGGTGAAGTGTCTAACGCAAGATATCACAACAATCAAACAGCAAAGCTTGATTTTAAGACAGGTTGTCTGGCTGCAGCAGATTGTCTGCCCTGATTCTTTCACATTATTCTCGCCAACGCTCATGGCAGTTTATAAAACAAAATACATGAAGGGTTCAGTATTTAGTTTGCTGTGTCCAAAAGATCAATTAAGAAAGATAAAAATTCACTGGAGCAAGGGCTGTGAAAAATGCCAACTCTACGTTAGTAAAATCCCTGAATTATATGCAAAAAAATCTTTCACCAGAAAGGTTTTTAATTATTAGTTTGATAGTAATGAAGGGGCACAAATGAGACATCTCTGGGGAGCTGCACAGACTTAAGTTGTTTATAATTAGTATGGCATCATTTTTATAAATGGGTGCACCACGTTCAAGGTTTTTACGTTGTTTTCTGTCAGCTTCTCAATAAAACATCTTTGTCTTTAAAATCCTGGGCAAACACAATTCTCCACTTCTCATCCAGAGACAGGATATTATTGAAATTTCACAGGCAGCCTGAATAGGTAGGTTAAAGTGATAATGATGGTGGTTGCCAGGGGTTGAGGGGAGGACAGAATGAGAAGTGAGTGTTTAATGGCTCCAGTTTCAATAGGAAATGTGAAAAATTCTGGAGATGAATGATGGGGATAGTTGCACCACAATGAAAATGTACTTAATTCCACAAAACAGTAGACTCAAAAATGGTTAACATGGTAAATTTTGTCACAATAAAAATACAAATAGAAGAAATGCTAATGAATTCTCAAACCATGAAAGACTAACCTCAGCTGAATCTCAAACTCAGAAAAAGTAAAACTTTAATTCCGAACTGCTTAGTCAAACATAATGAAATAGGACCTACCTCCTGTCAGAATAAGTACATATTAAAAATAAGAAGCCTAATTCTTTTCGAAAATAAGGGAAAAGATTCTTCACCCTCTTACTTTTTCTCAGAGCATTTACTTTGGTTAACTTGCAATTATTGAGTATTTTTTGCACTCTTTGAAATGTATACAAATCCTTTTGAAGACTAGACAAGGACTTTTGTCAGCTTTGTGACCTAGGAATGCCTTTACAAAGACCTAAAGGCCATCTCCTTGAAAAGTGAACATCAAGGTAGCTAGCACCCCTATCTCCCAGTTTCTGTGGGAGAGCTGGAGTCTGACTTTGGTAGGCACCTTGCAGCAAGTTAAAAAATTACCTCCTGTCATAAAGATATGAAAAGTTTGTTTTTCCTCTGGCCAAACCCAATCAGTTAACATGGATGGCCACCCCAATTACCAGGTAAAGTTAGGATGAGCTATGTGTGACAAACGGTGCTGTCAAGCTTACTTGGGGGACAAGTTATTGTTTATCTTCAAAACATGCATGTAATGGGCTGTTTGGCTTCATAAAATAGTGAGATTTCTTTCTGTCTTTGCAATCTCTTGGGGGATTACCTTCGATGTACATCACATTCTGATTTAATAATGCATGTTCAAGAATAAATAAATAAATGTGTTTTCTTTCTCTCTCACTTTTGTAGAGAGAATTTCTCAGTTGGGAGATTTTGCTTTTAATTTTATTTCCCCAACAGCTCCTAAACATATAACCTCTATAATTTTCACTAAAATAAATTTAGTTATAAAAAAAAATCAACACAGATACATGGAAAGACTAATTCCTATTATTACAAACAAATAGGAAAACTGAAGAAAGAGAACAATGAACTTCTCAGGAGGAAAAAAAATACCAAGTTTAAAATGAATGAGCATTGGTATCCATGAAAACAAATAAATGGTTAATTGCACAGCCAGGACAGGAAGAAATTTCCCTATAGACAGGTTCGTGAAAAGGGTTTTGTAATATGACTTTCAAAAAGAGAATTATCTGCCTTTGAGTCTTTGAGGCTTTCAGCTTCAGAATGGACATCATACGATGAACATCCATCCACGAAAGACAAAATCAGGACAGAGGGAGGGAAAGGTAGTAAGAGACCTGTGAGGAGAGAGGAAGGCAGAGAGGTCGGAAGAGAGAGGGAGGATATATGAATGTGAGTAACAAGTAATCAGGATTCATCTAAAATATCCTTCAGTGCTCTACTAACCTTGTCATTTTTGCATATCCAAGACCTCCTAGATTTCTCTAAACAAAAACCCTATGACAATTATATATATATATATATATATATATATACACACACACACGCACACACACACACATATATAAGTATGTATGTATGTATATGTATGCTAGCATTTTCTCATTATGTGTGCACATCTTCTCTACTTCATTTTATTGTAAGGAACTTAAGGTTTGACAGTGAAACAAGTAGTGTTTTGTTTTGGTTTCTTTAATCCTTTTTTTGTATCATTGAAATGCCACAGGGAGAGCACAGACCCATAAAATACATATATATATATATATATTTTAAATGGCCATTAAAAGTAGAAAGAAGTATTCAAACAATGTCTAAATCTTAACAATCTTAATAATCAACAATGTCTTAATAATCTTAATAATCCAAATCTAAAAGAAATGGATGTAACAGACATTACATTTTCAAGATCTGTTCTAATAACAGAAATAAAAATGGCAAGTCCCTACTGTGTTTTTTCTTATATATGTCAAATAATCACCTGTTTGGTTATTTTTTACATTTTATTTATAATTATTTATATCTATTTCATTGTATTTTATTATTTTTATTTTTACTTTAATCTTATTTATTTTATTTTATATATTTATATATATTGTAATTTTAGTAACTGCACACATTTTGTAAAGGGTCAGGAATGTCACCAGAGTTATATGATACAGATGTTTTAAGTATTGGAACACGAATAGAATAACTAAGAAAACTGCAAAAGAAATATGTACAGATGAGAGAAGTCAAAAATAACACTAAGAAAAACAGGAATACCAGGGGAGGTGGGGCAGATGAAGATACTGTGAGAATGAGTCTGAATGCAAGTCTGTTACAATCTGTAATACAAGATAGAAAAGCTCTTTTGAAATTATGAAGCTTTTGCTTGTCAATTTTACAAAAGGAAATATAATAAACTAAAACAATGTTATTTTCCTAAGATCAGATGCACCAAACTCTGATTCTGGACCTTACTCTGACCTTGTGATCAGGCTTCCAATTCCTGAACAAATATACAATTGTCACAGATATACAGATATAGCCCTAGTCATAAAATATTAACACAAAGTATTTCCTTATGCTTTAAATATAATCTCCTGGACAGTGAACTCACCTGAGTTTCTGAAAGCTCGAATCCTCCACATCACTGTAGCTTTTTCTCAAAGAGGTGAGAGGAGGAAACAGATTTGATAAGGTACTAAGTCTCTGTATTAGTTTATTAGTGCTAAGCCAAACAGGGGAAAGCCCTTTATAAATCCATCAGATCTCCTGAGAACGCACTCCCTATCAGGAGAACAGCATCATGGGGGTAACTGCCCCCATGATTCAATTACCTCCCGCTGGGTCTCTCCCACGACACATGGGGATTATGGGAACTAAAATTCAAGATGAGATTTGGATGAGAAAACAGCCACACCGTATCAGTTCCTTTGTACAACGGTGTATAAAACCCAACCACAGCAATGATGGAAACCAGACAATCTGAATGACATCTTGCTGACATGAATACGGAAATACCCTGTATTTGTATATTTCCCTCAAACCCCCCCTTCATTGAAAATGCAAGCATTTATTCAACAACACACAGCTAAGAGCCCCTACTGTGTGCAAAGCCCTCCATCCTGCCTTGCAGATGAATGCTAAGGACATAGTCTGTGATCACAAGACAGATTATATCAGAACCCACTGACACAAAAGCAACCAAGTGAAGGCAAAGTTGGATATCTTCTCTAAGACAGAGCTTCTCAAATGGTAACATGCATAAGGAGGACCTGGAAAATGAGGTAAAAGGGAGATTCACACATTCCATAAGTCTAGGACAAGACTCAAGATTCTGTGTTTCTAGTCAACCCACAGAGGCTGCTATTGCTGCTGCTCCTTAGACCATCCATTGAGAAGCAACAGTGTAAGGCATAAGTGTAAATAAAGGGCTGTGAATGCTAAGTGAGCAGTGATTCTTGCTAGCTGATAGTTGTAGGGAGGTTTCATGGGGAAAGCTCTTGCATCGAAACAGGAAGTGGAACAGAGGTGGGTGTTTGTTTGTGGGTAGTTAGGGACCAAAAAGAATCACAGAGACAATGGAGAGTAAAGAGAAAAGAAGGGAAGAAAAGGGGAAAAGGTATTCCAAAAAGCAGAAATAACTTGAATAAAGTTCTCAAAGCAGAGAAGTATATGAGATATTTAGAGGAAAGCAAGAAATTTAATAAGACTAGAGTATAAGCTCTAGGTGAGTAAACAATGAATTACAGAAAATAGGCCTAGAATGATATGCCACGAAGAAATCACCCACATCTTATTTGACCCTATATTTTGGAGGGCACTGGGTATCTGATCACCAACAAGATAGGCAAATTTCAGCTGTTAAAATTACTCGTGTAGAATAAAAGATCTTGTAATTTAGATCTGGTCTAAAGTTACTCATATTCTCCATTTTGATATGTATTACTAAATGCTCGTTATTATTTCTCAATATAATTGCCTTTCTGTAAATCATAGCCCATCTTCAAACGAATAACGTTCCTTCAAATGAGACTGTGCAAGATCAAAACAAAATATGCCTGTTCCCATGCTCCTTAAAATGTTCACCATTCAACAGCCTACTATGAAGCAGTGGCTTAGTGGAATCACAAATCATTTGTATTTACTGTCGAAAGCTGCAAATTTCCAGAAATGTTTCATAATGTAATATCCTGAAAAAGGAAACCAAATGAGGCTATAAGAGAGCATAGGTTTTCACACCGCTGCTACATGAAAGGCACAGATCTGAGCCAGTGCTGTGCGGCAAGGAACAGAGAGGAATCACAGGATACCCAGGAAACTCAAGCAGGTTGCCAAACCCTAATGGCAAGTTCATTGCTCCCCTGCCAACATTATTAATAATTTACAAAAAAGAAGAGAAAAGGCATCCAAAGCAAAGGCATCTAATAACTTATCTATCAGTTCTTGTTTCTGTGTCCGTCCACATCAGTAAAATCTTCAAATGTCACATTATTGCTCTTTGAGATAGGCTATGAGTCTCACTTAGTAAGAGGTTCCAAGTTAATTTTTTAAATGAGTAAATGTCTACAAGTTTTTTTTTAAGCCATATTAGGAAGTGAAACCATTGTATCCCCTTCTCCTCTCCCTTCAGCATTCATCTAATCTTTCTTAATATAACCATAGATAATTACTGGACTCAGATTTTTTCATTTTTTCACATACAACTTTTTCTTTTTACAAAAATTGAGTCATACGTGTATACGGTGGCTCATGCCTGTTATTCTAGCACTTTGGGAGGCCAAGGCGGGCAGATCACAACGTCAAGAGATCGAGACGACCCTGGCCAACATTTTAGTAGTGAAACCCCGTCACTACTAAAAATACAAAAATTAGCTGGGTGTGATGGCAGGTGCCTGTAGTCCCAGCTACTCGGTAGGCTGAGGCAGGAGAATCATTCAAACCCGGGAGGTGGAGGTTGCAGTGAGCCAAGATTGCACCCCTGCACTCCAGCCTGGCAAGAGAGCAAGACTCCATCTCAAAAAAAAAAAAAAAAAAAAAAAAAAAAAAAAAAAAAAAAAAAAAAAAAAAGTTTTCCAGATTAGTTTATATAATTCTCTCTCTTTTTTTTTTTTTGGTTTTTAAAGTTATACTTTATTAGGCAAAACATAGACCATGGTTGTCACCCTAATTCACACTGATATAGCATTGTGATCTATTATATTTCATTTTTAATGGCTAAGTATGATTGCATTGTCTAGCTTATGACAGTGTATTTAACCATATCCCCATGATGGCATTTTGATTATTTTCAACCACATTTAGGCTTACAGTCATTTTCTTCAGGATTACTTAAAAATCAGTAGGGTCCCTAGCATATGTAACTTCGAAGATCACAGTAAAATTATGTAATGAGTCTATTGGCCAGTGAAAACATCCAAAGAGGAGAAAAGTGAGACCCACAGAATCAGAGGCATGTAGCCATACAGTAACAGCTGATAATCCAATTACTAGACAGTGTCAATTATCAAGTAAATACCAATAGCCAACAGCTAGACAAACCAGAGCTGCTAACGGTAACTAGGATGCATGAACTTAAAAAACATTTAAAAACTAATCAACTTTATTTATAGTACAGATCTTCAGACAGCAACTTGGTTATCTGAGTCCTTATTCCTAGGCAGATAATAAGTCACAAACTTGCAGGAAGGACAAATGGCTTTTATAAGTAGGCATGTTGATGTCAGAGAGAAAGCTGACCTACTAACACCTAACATGAAAAGAAACCTAAGAAGCAAAAACTAGTAACATGTGGCCCTGGGGCCATTTCATGTTAGAGTCTTGCATATTTCAGTAGGTTCTGGGGACATCATTATGCACAGTGAAAAGTTATTTATGTTCAAAATCACAGCCCTGAATTATTAATGAATATAATTTCTCAGGGTATTTGCTATACAATAGCAGTGCAGTATGGAATATGTCTGAGAAAGACAACCTATCAAAATAGTTAAAACAAGATCCTTGATCATAGGAGACCTCAGAAAGACTTTGGGCCAACCACAGCACTTAATAGACAGAAAAACAAAAGCACAAACGTAGCATGATTGATCCAATGTTAGTGCGTTTTTAGAAATCATTGGAGCTATTAAGCCGGGATACATGAATCTTATGCCATTGTATCTGTGGCTACTCCAAAATTACAAGATTGGTAAGTAGAAACTGAAACTTGAATGAGAAGACACTCATTGTTTAGCATTTTCAGAGAACTAAGATTTACCTTAAGAAATACTGTGATCACAAATGTGAATGTAAGTGGCCCTGGTGGGGAGCTGAGAACGAGTTATAAGTCACAGTTAACTGTTGCTATTGTTGTTGTTTTGAGAATGTAGATCTTCTAAAACCTAAGAAAAAAAAATAGCATTAATTGTTGGCCAGGAATACAGCTGTACAAACAAGAACTTATGTTCAACATGTGGATAATAGGGAAACTAAGTCACATATATATGCAAAACTAGCAAATCTCCTTGCTTCTATGTTCGGCTGACCACGAAACTCTATTGCTTTGAATTAACTAACTTTCAAAATGTAGCTTGACTGTTTCTGTAAGTATTCATCAATGTGAAAGAAACTGAATAGACAGTGTACTTGAAAGCACACTGTACAAGCAGGCAGGAGACTTGAGTTCAAGTTTCAGTGGAGCTCCAGGGCAAGGGCCTCGGGGTTGCCAGTAAAACAAATGAATTGAATGTGAGACTCTTTAAGCTTCCTTGTGACTATTTTTCATGTTTCCAGTCAGATCTTAGCAAATAGAAATTAGGCAAATATGGAAAATCCTTATACCCTGCAATATATAGTACAGTCTAAGATTCCTGTATTTGGAACCTTTGTTGCACAAAGGCTCTCTGAGACATATTTTAAACAGGAGACTCTTATTTTCCTAAGCCCCACACTTCACTTTGCTGGGTTTTTTTTTTTTTTTTTTTTTTTTTTTTTTTTTTTTTTTTTTTTTTTTTTTTTTTTTTTTTTTTTTAATTATCTTACGCTCCATCTATCTCCTTATCAAGATGACATCTAGAAAATCAGAAAGGACCTCAGAAGTCAATAATGTTATTTGGGACACTATTGGGAAATAGAAGCCCCGGAAAGAGAGGTGACTTTCATGAGGTCAATAACTCACTAGTGCAAATGTAAGAAGCTGGCTTTTGACTCCCAGTTCAGGCCTGTCTACCAACTCTGAAAACTACTAAGAAATATAACTGTCCCCTAAAAATAACACACCATTTGTATCCAGGAAAAAGAGTCATGTCTAAACAGGCAATGGTCCTATATCAAAAGAAGACAGCTACTTGGGCCCAGAAGCAATGATCAGGCTGCAAAAGGAGCTGAAGTTGCTGTTCTTTACCCATGACTTTGTGAAGATTTATGGTGTACATGGGAAATCTTGGCCCAACGTCCTATAGGCAGCATTGGATCAGATCCCTAAGGAGTCTTTACAGCTGTGAAGTTCTTAACATCTTTATTTCCTGGGAACAGTTGGACTGACCTGACTTAAAATATCTGGTGAATTTCTGAAGCTTTTCTATAAGGAACAAAACTTCGTAGTTTGAAATATCCACAAATGGTAGATCTAAGCAAAGCATACTGAGCTGTAACATTACATTTTAAAACAATTAAGTGGGTTGGAGATTACGGACGTCTCTGTAAATCTTGAGGAGAAAGATTATTTAATTGAAAAACAGTGTTCATTCTGAGTTGCAGCACTGATCAGCAGGACCCACTGCCAGTTTTTCTATCTTTCTCTTCATTCTTTCAAAGTTGTTAATCAGCTGCTGGAGACTTCCTATCTTTGCAACACTCTTTCCTTCAAGAACCAGGGAACTGTCTCCATCCTGACATTAAATCAAAGGATTATCATATTTGACTAGCAGAGCTTTCAAATGAGTAGTAAGCCAATTAAAAGAAAAGAAAAAAATAGACCAAAAAAAAAAAAAAAAAAAAAAAAAAAAAAAAAAAAAAAAAAAAAAAAAAAAAAAAAAAAAAAAAAAAAAAAAAAAAAAAAAGAGTTTTTCACTCCTGACATCCTGGCCTGCAAGCGGCTTTCCTTTGAAACAGCAAGAAGAAACAGCTCTCAAAGACGCTTTCTCATATGCTGCCAACTGCAAAGGGAGTATTTTTCAGGGGATGCTTGTCTGGTCCGACTCGGACTTGTCTCGGGGTGTGTCATCATTCCTCCAAGAGGTTTGGCCTGGGCAAGACTGCATTCATCAGGAATTATTTCAAAAATCCAGAGCAGGCAACCAGTGGGAGGTTTTTCAACACGGATGTGCACCTCCCACGTGCTCTGGTCACAGACACGACTGGGCTGGTAAGAGGGCCTGACGGAACCGTGCCAGGCCCAGACACAAGTCTTCCATTCTGACACGGAGTGCTGCCAAGAGGGAAGGAACCACATCCTTCCTCATCCTAAGTCCTCTTCTTAAATCGAGTGGTTGTTCGGACAGGGGAAGCACAGGGGGGAGGGAGGAGGAGACATCACTAGTTGGTGTTAATTATAACAAGGGGAAACCTTTATTCCCAATATAAAGTTTCTAAGTGAATTCAAGACAGAATCTCAAGGCCGGAAAGGCCTTTAAATGTCATTTTGATTCAAACTCCTTTTTCCAATATTCAAATCTCCTTGTGACATCCTTGCCAAGTAGATGTCTAGGCCCTCTTTTAATATCTCTAGCGATGGTGAACTCATTACTAATTTAGTTTTCATATGGCCCTAATTGTAATAAATGTCTCTTTATGTTGAGCTGGACCCAGATCCCTTGTCATTTCAACCTACTCATCCTGGTTGAGGTCTTTCGAGCCACGTTGGGCATATGCTTCCCTCTTTCACAGACACCTATGGGCATTCAATACAGTGGTTCCAGTATTTCAAAGCATTTCCATAACGTCATAGATCATACATTCAAAAATAGGAGACTAGAGTTTTTCGAAAGTACTTGTTCCCCTACTCCCCTCTCCAACCCTCAAAGCGAGAAAAATGCACTGAGGAAGTAAGAATGTCATTGAAACAGAAACAAATCTCATCAGTTGATTAAAGAATCTCCCATGCTGTCTGAGCCTAAAAAAAAAAAAAAAAAAATTGGAAAAGGAGAAAGGGAGCAATAAGAGACCAGAAACGCAAATGGGCTGGCTCAGTCCAAGCTGAGATTCTAGGGAACTGTCAGACAAATCAGAGCAGTAACTAACCACCTGTTACAAGATGCTCAGCTGTACATCTAAGCAAACTGGATAGGGGCCCCGGGATACATGGCACACCTCAGCACATGGAGACAAAGCACAAGATTTCATCATGAACTTTACAGTCACACAGACCTGGGTGCAGGTCCTTCTCCACAGCTGTACAAGCTACTTAACTATATCGAGTCTCAATTCCTTATTCGTGAACAGGGTCAGTAAAGCAGCTCATGGAATTAGGTAAGATGATTATACGAGGTAATTTCCTAAAGCACTTGGCACACAGTAAGCACTTCAATTTGTTAGCTATTAACTTTTTTTCCCCCTCATTACTAGACCTGCCTTTGACTCTCCCAAACTTTCCCTGCATACTGCACCAAATACAAGGAAGCAGAAAGCCCACATATCCGGTAGAGAAAAATTACACCAAAACTCATGTGTGAGAACAAAGGCAAGAGAAGCGGCAGATGATACCAGAAAGTGCACCGTGCCAGAACTAGAAAGCCAGTTACAGATAGGTTTGGCTGACTTTATAAACACAGCATATTGCTCTGAGGCCTTTCTGC